TCTCAAAATAAAAACAAACAAACAAACACTATAGTATCACTATAGTATGTTGATTTTAAGTCCTTTGAGGGATATACTGAGGAGTCAAATGGTGGTTCCATTCCAATTTTTCTGAGGAATCTCCATACTGCTTTCCACAGTGGTTGCACCAATTTGCAGTCCCACCAGCAATGTATGAGTGTACCTTTTTCCCCACATCCTTAGCAACATTTATTGTTACTTGTGTTCTTGATAATTGCCATTCTGACTGGAGTGAGGCAAAATTTCAGTGTAGTCTTAATTTGATATTGTTATTAACCTTAGCAGCAATTTTAGAAGTAATTCTTATAAGATGTTTTCTTAAATAAGAGATATAATAAACATGTTTCACACTCAAGAAAGTAAAAATATTTTTAAAATTTCTTCTGGTTGGAAGAAATTAGGCAGTAGCCAGGCATGGTGGTGCATGCCTGTAATCCCAGCTACTTGGGATTAAGTCAGGAGGCTTGCAAGTTTGAGGTCAGCCTCAGCAATTTAAGAGACCTAGTCTCAAAATAAAAACAAACAAATGAAAAGACTGGGGATGTAGCTCTGTGACAGTATTCTGGGGTTCAAGACCTCTAGGGAGGAAGGCAGACATTGTATTTATGAGAAGTTGAATATTCTCATATTTGTCCATGAATGAACTAAAATTTACACATAAATAATAATTTGCATGGTGGGAACACTAAAAGAAATGAGACGATACTGAATGTGGCTAAAACTCTATATTCTCCAGATTCTTACCCACGAAGAGCTAGTATAAAACGTTTGATGTCAAGAGCATAAAAAACTTAGCTGCCAGAAAAACACTGCCAGAAACTAAGATTACCCAGATAATGGTAATGGTTGCACAACGATGGCAATGTGCTTAACACCACTGAACCGTACACTTAGAAATACATAAAATAGTACACTTTATGTTAAATGCATTTTACCATGACATTAAAAAAAAGGCTAAGATTTCTCAACTTTAACTTCAGGATACAATAACTGATTTGAAGAAACAAATGCATATTTTTTCATATCTACAGTCTCTTAAATTTCATATCTATAGTTTCTTCTGAATTGTGGCAATAAGAATTAAAAATCAGAAAAAAATGCTCAGTAAGGGATAAGAATTCCATGTTTAAATATTTTAAATAAAGCTGAAATAGAGTTAGGACCATGAAAATGCCAAGAGCCTATCAAGCAGTAAGTTGGGGTTTTCCTTAAAATATTAAGTGGAAATGAGAGCATGTAGCTATTAAAAACTATCAGACAATCTGTAAATATTAGAATTCAAATTAGAGTGATAAAACCACTGATTTTTGTTTGTTTTTGTTTTTTTCAGTACTAGGGATTGAACCCAGGGGTGCTTCAGCACTGAGGTGCATCTCAGCCCTTTTTAGTTTTTTTTATTTTGAGACATGGTCTTACTAAGTTGCTTAGGGCCATGTTAAATTGCCAAGGCTAGCCTCAAACTTGAGATGATCCTGCTTCAGCCTCCCAAATCACTGGGATTATATAAAAAAAAGTGTGGGGATGAAGCTCAGTGGTAGATAACCCTGGGTTTCAATCCCCAGTACAGGGGAAGGGTAGGGGGAACCTATGTAAATATGGAAGGGATCTAAAGAAGGCACAACAAGTCATAATAAAGCAAAGCTGCTCAAGGAGCAGACACACTAATGGATAACTTTGATGTTTTGCTCCATATACCTCAAACTGAACAAAACTTACATTCAAAAAATTAAAATTGAATTTCCAAATGTTTTTATGTATTACTTATAAAACAAAGATGGTAGAAATAAAGCAAAACAATAAAAAATCCACTACTATATTGCACAATGGTTTACAGTTCTTAGTTAATGTAATAATGTAGAAAAATAAAACTGAAAAAGCAAAAACCTGGGCTGGGGCTGTAGCTCAGTGGCAGAGTACTTGCCCAGCATGTGTGAGGAACCGGGTTCAATTCTCAGTACCACATAAAAAAATAAATAAAATAAAGGCATGCTGTCCATCTACAACTATTAAAATTTTTTTTAAAAAAAGCAAAAATCTATTGCAATTTTCAGAAAATATATTTCACAAAGAAAATTTGCTGGAAACTATTTAATCTCATAAGAGAGTCTACCAAAGCAGGAAGATATGAATTTGGTAGAAAACAATAATATTTTGCCATACTAGTATTTTCCCATACTAGAATGGTTTAATTTTAAATTGTAATAATTCCTACATGCAAAAATTCTCTTACATAAGAATGTTAATTCTAACAATATAAAAATGTAATCTCAATGTGATCCAAACAAAAATCTCCACAATATCCTTTGTATTAGTCAAAAGAATTACTCTAAACACAATAGCTAATAAAGATTTAGAAAATTAAGAGTAAATCATGTTATGAAGTAAATAAAAAAGCATAATACTGACAGGTTTTATTTTATTTTTACTTTATCAGAGAAAAAAATTTTAAACATATTCAAAATGTTAAAATGCAAAAATTTTAAAATAAGATAAAATGTACCACCTTACAAGGACATCACCCACCTTCAATAATTATTAACATTTTATAAATTTTATTAAATATATATCATTGTTCTGTCTTGACAGAATTTTAATGCAAATTAGCAATTTAATAACAACCAAAAATTTAATAATACTTGGTAAATATCAAATAATACCCAATTGCTGGACAATATTCTCCAACTGTCTCAAAAACGTCTCTTCACACATTGTTCCCTACCTTTTCTTTTCTCATTCATTTGTTGTATTTTCTAAACTATGCTCTCCTACTGCTAGATTATTTGAAATCAAATTCCAGGTATCTTTATACCAACTGCAATACTTATCACTTACAGCAATTGCAGTACTTATCACTAAGAAATGAGGTTTTCAAAATTCTTTTAAATCATCTCATAAGTCAAACATTTAAATTTTATTATTTGTATGAAAAATATTTTTTCTGTTTTGGTTTGTGTGGGAAAAAAAGATTCAATGAGGCCCACACTATGTATTCAGATGATATTCTCTGTCTCCCTTAGTCTACAACAGTTCACTTTTCCTCTACTAAACACTAACTTTTATTTTCCTATTAAAATTATTTGTTGGAAAAAAAGAAGTCACATTTACATTTTAGAACATTCTAGAATTGGCTGGTTGTATTCTAATAGTGTTGTTTCCCTTGTCACACTATGTATTTTCTTTAAAGTATTAATTATAGCTGAACATGGGGGAACACGCCTGTAATCCCAGTGATTCAGGAGGATGAGGCAACTTAGTGAAGCCCTGAGCAATGCAGTAGGACCTGTATGAAAATAAAAAATATAGAAAGGGCTAGGGATATGGCTCACTGGTAGAGCCCCCTGGGTTCAAGCCCCAGTTCCAAAAAAAAAAAAAAATTTACTACTTACATCTAGAAGGTAAATTAGATACAAGTTTAATTTAAAAGGCTGGGCAATAATAAATCATAGATAATGTTGTAAATACCATGTTGTATCATATTGGTTTAAGACCAGTTTTACTTTAGCAATGTAAGATTAACCCACTAAAACTAGACTAATGATTATCCACTAATTTAAGAAAATTCTATTCTTCTACTTATTTTTATGTTGGAGTTCTTTCACAGAAAAACTTTCCCTCATTCAGTATCTTATTAAATTGACATAAGAAAGGCAGGATAAATGCTAGATACCATCCCTGTATTTATCAATTTTTAGTATAGAAAGGAACAAGTTACTTGCAGTAAAGTTCAATGCCTTTTGTTGTTGTTGTTATTTTTCATTTTGCACTGATTAATTTCTATATATTTTAGATGTTTTATTTGATTATAGGCATTTACTTTGGTGAAACAACACTTTAGGCTTTTGAAAAAATATGGAATACTCCATATATCATATAGGATCATTCAACAATCTCCTAGAATGACAAATATAGAGTGAATGGATAGCCAATGCCCTTATGAAACAAAAAGTTATCTGGGTTTTTAGGCTACATTAGATGATACACAGTATCTACCGGTAATACTGGTATTAAGAATATTAAGTACATGTAAATTAGTAAGCATGGTGCTTAATAAAACACCCAGTAAAGTACGTGGATGAATGTACTTGTGCTATGCATGTTTGCCCAATTGTGAGTGTAAATGTTTAGGCACTGGCTCTCTGAGGAAAAAGATTAGGTAACCCTGATTTGTAATGTTTGACAATTTTCATGATCCAATATAGACCCACCATGGATGATCTTTCACTACCTACCATCCTGACGTCACCAACTGCAGGGGTGGTGACAGATGCAAAAAATTACTTCTCAGTCAGGTGTGGCAGCACACACCTGTAATCCCAGTAGCTCAGGAAACTGAGGCAGGAGGATCAAGAGTTCAAAGCCAGCCTCAGCAACTTAGTGAGGCCTTAAGCAACTCAGTGAGACCCTGTCTCTAAATATAATACAAAATAGGACTGGAGAGGTGAATCAGTGGTTGAGTGTCCTGAGTTCAATCCCTGGTACCTACCCCTCAAAATTAGTTCTCAACAGCCATAGTGAACAGCCTCCAGGATAACCATATTCATTAAGAAAATAAATTATTTTGTGTACTTGTCAATGTGTATTTATACATATATATATGTACAGATATGTATGCACATACTTAGATATGTAAAAAGAACAAAAATAACATACTAAAAGGTCTGGAGAAAAAGACATCAAGTGAATGGAGTGTTTTCTCTGGAGTAAGAAATGGTAGAAGAGTGGAAGGAACAAAATAAGCTGATAAGCTGAAACACCACTGCATCAAAATTCTTTGAATGTTTAACCATAAGGTGGTCATCTATTGCTTATGTAGTTGTTGGGTCAAAAGAAGAATTTTTTTTTAATTTACTCTTACCCATTCTATCACAGAAAACAACACCGTCTCACAAATATTAAGCTCCAACGTGATAAAAATGACCAACTAGATTAGATGTCATATTATACACTGAAATCACCTTTTGGAAAAATACACAATTTACCTTAGCTTCAGTTTCACCCCTGTGAAGAGTGTACAGATGGTGGACAGCACTTTGTGATGAGGACCAAGGATGTGTCAGAATTTGGAAGACGTGAAAGTCATGGCCAAGTGTATCTGTTGTGACTAAAAGCATTCCTGGAAGACAAGGGGGAAAAAAAAAACAAACAGGATAAAAATAAAAATTATTATGTATGTGGATAAATACTTTCAAAAACTATTTGTAAATATTAAATTATTACCAACAAAAAATAGCAAGGACATAAAAATTTCCAAAATGAAAAATTAAAACATCTTTTTATTGTGCACATCCAACTTGATGATATATCAGTAAAGCTGACTACTAAATGTGCAGGTATTGTGATTTTTCCATGTCACTGGCAGAGAGTTTTTTGTTTTGTTCTGTTCTGTTTTTTGAACTGGGGATTGAACCTAGGGGCCCTCAATCACTGAATCACATCCCCAGCTCTTTTTTGTATTTTATTTCGAGACAGGGTCTCACTGAGTTGCTTAAGACCTCACTAAGTTGCTGAGGTTGGCTTTGAACTCTCCATCATCCTGCCTCAGCCTCCCGAGCCACTAGGATTTCAGGCATGTACCACTGCACCCAGCCAAAGAGAATTCTTTAAAATTCTTTAAGAACAAAATTAGAGAATCCATAATCATTTCAAGAACAATGAGTTATGAAAATTATAACACCCATGGAACTAAAACTCAGTCTTTTTGCAATTTTATTCAATATACCTACTTATCATACTAGTAATGTAAAAAGGAATTACATGTTTAAGCTTCTTTTGTGGCTCTGAACACGATGTAGCTTGGTAACACGTACATATACACCTGAACACCTAGAGTGTTCTGTAAATATTCATTCAAGTTAATCATTAATATTTTGGGGATCTTTAATGTCTTTATGATTTTTTGCTTACTTTTTCTATTACTGAATAATATTTGTGAGTTAGAATTTCAAAGCCAGGCATGGTTATATATGCCTGTAATCCCAGTAGCATGGGAAGCTAAGGCAAGAGGATCACAAGTTGGAGTCTAGCCTCTCAGTCACTTGGCAAGGTGCTAAGGAATTTAGTGAGAAACTGCCTCACAAAAGGGGCAGGACTAAAGGGCTGGGAATATAACTCAGTGTTAAAGTGACCCTGGGTTCAAAGTACCAAAAAAAAAAAAAATCCAAGTATAATTGTGGATATGCTTATTTTTCAACAGTTATTTCAGCTCAGAAAGTTTAAAGCTAGCTGGAGGTGGTGGTGCATGTCTGCAATGTCAGCTACTCAGAGGAGGCAGAGGATCACAAGTTCGAGGCCAGACTCAGCAAACTGGTGATACCCTATCTCAAAGTGAAAAATAAAACGGGGTGGGGATATGGACTCAGTGGTAGAATCCACCTAAGTTCAATCCCTAGAAACACACACACACACACACACACACAAAGTGAAAAAAATTGCAGTTACTTTCAAGATTCACACACATTTAGCCCATTTAGGATTGTTATGAATTCTTCTTGAATCAGCCCTTTTAACGTAAGGTCCTGTTTGTTTTCCTTGCTCTGAATTCTACTTCTCTGATGTTAACATCACCATTACAGCTTTCAGTTTATAACTATCAAGATGATTGTGTTTAAAATGAGTTATCTCTCACCCTACACAAAACTCATCTCAAAGTAGATCAAGGACCTAAGCATTAGACCAGAGACCCTGCATCTACTAAAAGAAAATGCAGGCCCAACATTCCAACATACTGGCTCAGGAACTTACTTCCTTAATAAGACTCCTAAAGCACAAGAAGTAAAATCAAGAATCAATAAATGGGACAGTTATCAAACTAAAAGGCTTCTTCACAGCAAAGGAAACATCAGGAATGTAAAAGTAAAGCTTACAGAATGGGGAGAAAACCTTTGCCATCTGCACCTCAGTTAGGGCATTAATCTCCAGGATATATAAAGAACTCAGAAAACTTAACACCAAAAAACAAATAACCCAATAAATAAATGGGCAAAGGAACTGAAAAAATACTTCCCAGAAGAAGAAATACAAATGGCCAATAAACACATGAAAACATGTTCAAATTCTCCAGCAATTAGAGAAATGCAAACGAAAAGTGTTATTAAAATTCCATCTCACTCCAGTCAGAATGACAATTATTGCCTATAATCCCAGCAGCTCAGGAGGCTGAGGCAGGAGAACCACCAGTTCAAAGCCAGCCTCAGCAAAAGCAAGGCACTAAGCAATTCAGTAAGACTCTGTCTCTAAATAAAACACAAAATAGGGGTGGGGATGTGGCTCAGGGGTCAAGTGCCCCTGAGTTCAATTCCCAGTACAAAAAGAAAGAAAGAAAAAAAAAGAATGGCAATTATCAAGAACAAAAGCAATAATAAGTGTTGGTGAGGATGTGGGGGAAAAGGTACACTATACTGGTGGGACTGCAAATTGATCTACCTGCTCTAGAAAGCAGAAGATTCCTCAGAAAACTTGGAACAGAACCACCATTTGACCCAGTTACCTCACTCCTTGCTTTATTCTCAAAGGACTTAAAAACAGCATATTACAGTGACACAGCCACAACAATGTTTATAGCAGCTCAATTCACAATAGCTAAGCTATGGAACCAACCTAGGTACCCTTCAACAAATGAATGGATAAAGAAAATATGGTATATAAATATTACTCAGCCTTAAAGAAAAATAAAATTATGGTATTTGTAGGTAAATAGGTGGAGCTTGAGAATATCATGCTAAGTGAAATAAGCCAAACCCAAAAAATCAAAGGTCCAATGTTTTCTGATAAGCGGATGCTGATCCATAATGTGGGGTAGGGGGGAATGGAGGAACTTTGGATTGGGCAACAGGAGTGAAGGGATAGGAGGGGGTGGGTTTGAAGGTGGAATGAGACAGACATTATCACCCTAAATAAAGGCATGATTATGCAATCAGTGTGACTCTGCACCATGTACAGCCAAAGGAATGAGAAGTTGTGCTCCACTTGTGTACAATGTGTCAAAATGCATTCTACCATCATGTATAACTAATTAAAACAATTTTTTTAAGTAAAAAAAAAACTACACTGAAATTTCATCTCACTCCAGTCAGAATGGCAACAATCAAGAATATAAGCAACAATAAATGTTAGCAAGAATATGGGGGAAAGGGTATACTCATACATTGCTGGTAGAACTGCAAATTGGTGCAACATTATGGAGAGCAATATGGAGATTCCTCAAAAAACTAGGAATGGAACCAATTGAATGGAACCAACTGACTGGGTTATAATACTCTTTGGAATATATCCTAAGGATTTAAAATCAGCATACTTATAGTGACAACAACATCAATGTTTATAGCAGCTCAACTCATGATAACTAAGCTATGGAATCAACCTAGATGCCTTTCAACAGATGAATGGATAAAGAAAATGTGGTATATAACAATGAAACATTATTCAGCCATAAAAAAGAACAACTTTATGACTTTCGCCAGTAAATGAATGATATGGAGAATATCATGCTAAGTGAAATAAGCCAATCCCCAAAACCCAAAGGTCAAATGTTCTCTCTGATATGTGGATGCTAATACACAATGAGGGAAGGGGAAAGAAAAAGAAGTTCATTGGATTAGATAAAAGGGAATGAAGGGAAGGGAGGGGAGATAGCAATAGCAAAAGACAGTGGAATGAATTGGATATGACTTTCCTATATTCATCTATGAATACATGACCAGTGAAACTTCACATAATGTACAACCACAAGAATGGGATCCTAATTAGAATAAATTATACTCCATGTATGCATAACATGTCAAAATATACTTTACTATCAAGTATATCTAAAAAGAACAAATTAAAAATTTTAAAGTTTTAAAAAATAATAAAATGAGTTAAATAGTAGATAAATGCAGTCTCTCTCTTTCTAAAGCCAGTCTTTCAATTGGTGTTTTAGATCATTTGCATTTAGTGCACCTAAGTTTATCATTTGATTATTTTTAACACTCATTTTTTAATTACCAATGAGTTTGAGGGCTATGGATCTTTACATATTAATGGGTTGTTCCAGAGATTACATTACACATATCTAACTTTGTACGTTTATTCTTTTATATTTTGTGCAGATACTATAACTGTTTTCTGTAAGATGGATGGTTTATTAGCTTACTCAGATTTTCAAGAAGTGGGGTCATATTAGTTAACTTTCAAACCTTTACCTTGTTCAGAGGAAAAGGGCATGAAAGAATATTAAGAATAGCTGGGTGAGGTGGCACATGCCTGTAATCCCAGTGGCTCAAGAGACTGAGGCAGGAAGATTGAGAGTTCAAAGCTAGTCTTAGCAATAGTGAAGTGCTAAGCAACTCAGTGAGACCCTGTCTCTAAATAAAATACAAAAAAAAAGGGCTGGAGATGTGGCTCAGTGGTCGAGCAACCCTGAGTTCAATCCCTGGTACTCCCTCCAAAAAAAGAATATTAAAAATATGTGGGGACATAAAGTAGTCATTTAATGAAAATGAAATATATTGAGCTTGCTATTTCTGTGACTAAGGTATGACTCTAGTTGCTAGGGTAAAATATCAGATGATGCTTTCCTAGTTATTACAAAGAGAACACATTTTAGATGGTGAAAAGTATTATTTATTACCCTTAATTTAATAACCTATTAACTATAACATATATTTAATGATTTATTTAATAATTATGCACCAAGTTATGGTCATTTGGTGACACACTTTATATTCTTCTATTGTTTTTATTTAAACAACAAATCATTTTGTCTTTGGGGGTAGTATTTTTCCCATCCCTCCTACTTTTTTTGCTGAGTGATTTATAACAATTTTACTACTGTATTCTGACTTCACCTCCTCACACAAAATAATGATTTTCTGCATTTGACAATTTAATACAAAGATCATTCTGACAGGATAAGATGAACTAGGGTTTATAACCCACATGTATTCCTTTATAATATGGATAAGCTTTGCTATATATACTTCTTTTAAAATCATGTTGACATTTTATTCAGAATGGGCATTCAAATAAAAGGCCTAATTTACCAAATCAACTATTATTGTTTTATATATGAATTATAATCATTCACAAACACTTGTCAATATGCTCCTAGATTTCTAAACAAACATTTTTCTCTGC